TTATTTAATATAAATTTTATTTAATATTTTCAATATTTATTATTTTATTAATTCGATTGCAGGGTAGTTTTTACAAGTATTTATTTTGAAGTTACAAATTATAAAATTAAATTTATCAATTTCAAATAAGATATAAATTATCAAAATTCAAAATTATAAAATTGTAAAACTAAAGAGGAGCAAAATAATTTCAGTCCTTTTTATATCTAAATCTAATAATCTTCATTACTACACCATTACTGTACCTATTGTACTTACTATTATTGGTTACTATTTTTTTATATTATTTACTAAATATATCTAATACTAATTAATATTATATATTAATAATTATTGTTAAATAATATTAAGTGATAATAATTAATATTATAATTTGATAATTATGTTTGTGTAACTGAATATCACATAAATACGTGATCTTGTAGTACTATTCCGTGACTAATTAATGTATATTACAGACTATAAATATTAGTTGAAAAATTATTAAAGTGTTACTATTTGTTATATGAGTTAATATTTACTAATTAAATTTTAAATACTATTATTTTCTAAAGTTATTATTAATTATCTGCAGATGTTTCTAATGTTATATACTATACTTTTTATGATAATTTCATTCTGTAATATTATCTAAACATTAAGATTGACACAAGAGCAAAAAGAATTTTGACATGAACTTATTTGAGATCTTGTAAACCTTGTGAATAATGTGAGTAAAGTTCAACTGAGAAATGGTTCAATAAGAGAAGGGAAAGAAATAACTAACAAAAAAACTAAATAACAAAAGGTGATAAAAAATTTTGAGCTTTCAAATAAATATAGAATGGAGAGAGTGATAAGAAGTATGTTGTTATGGTATAAAATATAATATCATAATTATCAATCAAAAATTTCAATATATTAGTAGTATTAATATATTATAATAGAAGATGAATAATTATTTAACTTATTATTAATATTTAAACATATTAGTTTAATCATATAATATCAATTAGTATTACTTAACATTTATTAATTATTTATATTTAATATTATTTAGTATAGTTATTATATTAATATTATTAGTATTATATCATTTATAGTTAGCAAATAGTATTTTGTGGTACAATAGTCAAAATAGTATAAATATACCTCTTACCTCAATAGTTTTACATTATTTAATTTTATAGTTTTATAACTTTAATTAATTGTAATTCTCAGAGGATAAAATAAAATTATTTACATAAATGTATGTATGTAAATTCTTATTAAATTTATATAGTAAAAGTGAAATAATAAATATTATTATTCAAGTTGATAAATGATAACTTATTGAATCTAATAAAGTGGAAGTGAGGATATCAGATGGAAGTTATATAATTAATTAAATAATTAATTATATTTGTTCTGTTCTAATAATTATTGAGGAAGTTTGGTGATAAAGTATTTATTCAATACTAAAGATGGTAAATAGAAGTTATAAAGATATAACATTTAAGGATGATATGATGAAATTATTAAGATAAATTAATAGGGATAATATGATGAAATTATGAAAATAAATTAATAAGGATGTTATGATAAAATTACAAAGATAAATTAATAAGGAAGTTTGGAAGTTGAGAGATATAATATTGAAATGGGTGTATTATAATTAAAGTGGATGAATATTAGTTTTTTAGTTCTATCTAAAAACTAACTGGTGCCTTCTAAAATTTAAGGAATAACCAAACTGAAAGTCTTGTACCTATGGGGAAGAACTATAAACTCCTTAAAAGAACTGTTAAGTGAATATTAATAATAATACCTACAACAATACCAATGGTATATTTGGTTGGCAAGTAAAAAAAATAAATATGGATTGTAAAATGCCATATCAAAGTCAGCTTTGGTGTGTAGTATGTGATGTACCTCTCTACTGTAATAGTAATCACAATTGTTTTATTAATTTCTATACTGAAAAATAAAAAAAATTGTTTTTTTTTGTGAATTGTTAATTTTATATATATCTAAGAGAGTTTTGCAGGATTATAAAATTTAAAATTAAATAAAAAAAATTATTTTTTTATCTTTTATTTTTTTTCGCCAGTTCATTTATAAGTTTATAATTTATAATTTTTTTTTTAATCAAATTCATTTATCAGTTTATTAATATAAATGTGTCAAGTTAATTTTTAATTTTACATAGTAATTTAGCCAACCTAATTATCTCAATAACACAAAATTTTATTATGGATAAGTACCCATATTACATAGCAACTTTATTTCGTTTAGATATGTAATAGTTAAAATAAATTATCTGGATAATTTTCAGAAGTTCTGTCGCGCGGAATATCTCACGGCCTAAGCATGGCATATTTCATGTGACTCAGATTTTCGACGATCATTTGGGTCACAAACGATGTGCCGCAGTGTCACCACATGACCTACGTTCTGAGTTAAAGCTTTAATAATAAAAATTTTTTCGGGCCTAATTTTTCTCCAATTATTTTAGCGGGCAAATTTGCCCGCTAAAATGGACGGTTTAAGGGATAAGCATAGGATTTTGCTGGCCCGACAGCATGCTTATATACAGGTTTGACTGTAATCATTGAATTTTTTACAATATTTTATTGATAGTTATAACGAAATTGTATTGATTGGTTATTATACTGCATTGAACGATCGATTTATTTTTGAATATATGCATCAGAAAAATTAATTAGACGGAATAATCACATGACCTACGGAACTTTATGCCCAATTTTTTTGGGCATAAAGTTCCGTAGGTCGTGTGGTTGTTTCGGACTTACGCCTAATTAATGTAATTGGTAATTTAATCAAATTAATTTTTTACCACATAATCAGAATTGCAACAAGCCATCAGAAATTGCGTCATAATTTAGCCAGAGAAAAATTAATCAGTCTTTGAGCCCTAATTTAGTTAGCCAGGAGAGACCACAGGTCCAAGGCCACTACAAGTAATGACAATCTGGGCAATCTTCTTTTTGAGCTCGCAAGAGGTTGGGTGTGAATATATTTGTGAGGAACAATGTTGTTCATTAAGAGATTGTTAAGGATGAAAATAAAATTTTTTTTTACTTGGTATTCTGCTTACAGTCAAGGGGCCTAAGGGTAGGTAGTAGAATTGATGAGAACCTAGTTTCTATTATGAACAGAGTAGAAGCGGACAGTTTTAAAGGAGTTTAAAACAGAGGGAAATTTGAAAATTCTACTTTAGTGGATGATCAAGTGACAAATTCTAGTCGACTTTTTTTTTTATATGTAATTTTGCTTATAGATTAAAAACTGTAATGATTTTTTATACTTCTAATAAAGGTGAGACCACGTTAGTCTTTAAAAAAAATAATTTAGTTGGTACAATTTAATTAGCTTTTGAGCTGGAATTTAGCTGGAACAAAATCAATTAGTCAGAGGTACAATTATTGAGCCAGCCTTAATATTAATTGAGCCAACTAACCCTTAGTGTTGACCAGTGTTTTTGTATTCCTTTATCATGTCTATTATTGTAAGGTCATCTTCTTCTTCCTGTTCAGTATCAGCTAAAGCGTATTTGAAGAATGGGTCTTCTAGTTTAGCTTTAATTGTTAAGATTGATATTTTGTTTTCTTTTTTTTCTCATTTGTTTTTCTTATAAATTAGATCTGTTGTATGGTTAAGGACCATTTTTATCAAGTTGTTGATTGAATGTTCTGTTGGTAACAAGGGACATGTAAAAATGTGTACGTTATCTTCTTTTCCTTGGTGGAGTCATACATTTGTGGTTTCCTTTGGTGGACGTTCACTTATAATATAAAAAGTTTATATGTAGCAACGATTGACGATTTTGTATATAATTGTTATTACTTTTACATATATACAAAATCGTCTATCATACATATAAAAGTTTTGTATTATAAGTAAATATCAAAAACGGTACTAAGTAACCTCAAATTACATATTATATTAAAAGGACAGACTTATATCATCAAAATTGAGCGAAAAATTGTTATTTTAAAATTTTTTATCTGTTCGAAATTAACTGCAAATTTTTCTTTCAATTTTGATGATATATGTCTGTCCTTTTTATATAATATGCAATTTATTCTTGTATTTAAGATTACTTAGTACCTTTTTTGACATTTATTTATTAAAATAAAAAAATAAATGATAAATATTATATAATTATAAGTCATTAATTATTTATTTGCAAAATTCTAAATTGATGAAATCCTTCGTGACTTATGTATTATCCGGGGGCCTTCATTAGCGTATAGCTTATAAATCTCATTTGTTCCAGTGGTTTTGTTTCCTGAAAGTTTTCTGATTTTTTTTTTAAATCGTGATTTTTCTGTTTTAGTTCGTGAGGAGGCGCTTGAGCTCCGTAATGAATTTTACAAGTTATCGCTGTACCCAGTGCAAATTCAATACTGCGAAACTCTTCCTTGGTTAATTCAAGAAATCAAGGCCAGCTATTTTTTCCTTATGTATAATCGTAAAGTTGTCGTCATCTTGTTTTGGATCCTTCTTCCATAAATATTCAATGAGTTCTTTAGTGTTATATTTTTTGATCGCGTGGGTAAATACTTTCTCGTTAGGCAATGTGCTTCAATGTGCTTCAATGTGCTTGAGGGTAAAGCTGGCTCTAAAAGGGCATAATCACTTTATATATGGGGTTACTGCAAAAGAAAGAATGTTATGAAACTGTCATGGATAAATTTCATATCAGTAAGTTAAATATAATAATTAAATAATTTATAATTCATTTTTATTGATAAACTTTTTACAGAAATAATAAAAGAAATTAATCACAATCGATCTATATAGTAAAAAAATGTGCAATTTCTGAAATATGTATATAAGAGGCGCAGCATGTTATTTTCGAATAATACTAAATAATAATTATATTTTTATAATATTTATATTTTGAAAAATTTACTAATTTACATTTAACACAAATACATATTTTTTTTTGTCCAGGCGTAATAAGATCAACATACACGCAAAAAAAAAGATAATTATCGAACCAGCGAAATGAGACACTAATTATTAGTGGGGGTGCCTAGAGAACAAGTAGATTTAGTAGGTGTATTCTCTACATCTGCTGAAGGTGACACTGATTGTGCTGTATTATCATAATGATCATGATGACGTGTACGTGAAACGGCGGGTGAAGTAGTTACTTCAGGTGCAGCAGGTGAAGTAGTTACTTCAGGTGCAGCAGGTGAAGTAGTTTCTTCAGGGGGAGGAGGAGGATTATTAGATGTAGATTCAGGAGTAGCAGTAGGTGGGGGAGGAGGAGGAGGATTATCAGTTGTAGATTCAGGAGTAGCAGTAGGTGGGGGAGGAGGAGGAGGATTATCAGTTGTAGATTCAGGTGTAGTAGTAGGTGGGGGAGGAGGAGGAGGAGGATTAGATGTAGATTCAGGTGTAGTAGTAGGTGGGGGAGGAGGAGGAGGATTATTAGATGTAGTTGTAGTAGTAGGTGGGGGTGGGGGTGGGGGTGGAGGACTACCACCACCAACGAAATCCCAAGTGACTCTAAGTCTTCCAACGGATAAGTCGGCGATTTTTCTAAAAAATATAATTTAAAAAAATAAAAATTATAAAAATTATAAAAATTAAAAAAATTAAAAAGAAAGAAAATAATATTATACTAACTCAAATGCAGGACGGGATAAATCCACATCGCCATAAGGGCAAACGGGGCACTAAAAATAATTAATTTAATTTAGTAAACTTTTTTTTAAATATTTTTTTTAATATTTTTCTTTTAATATATATTTTTTTTTAATATTACTCACCCTATCAACGATTGTACATGTAACACTTCCTTTAGGACCAGTAACGACAATTTGTTTACCACAAAGAGGATTGTGATTTGGATTTCCATCTATAGCTTGTGCGTCATATTGTTCGTGATTCTAAAATATAACAACAATAAACATAAATTATATAAATTACAAATTTTACAGACACGTAAAAACATAAGCAAAAAATATTTAATTTTTTTTAAATAAACTTACCAATGCGACGACAAAATCACTTCCGCTACTAGTAATTCCACATGAACCCAATCCGGGATCATAATAAGTTGCATCTCCTGTGAATGCACGTTTTGCGAATTTATAGGAAACTGGAATAGATAATGATATCTCTGTCAAAGAGAATATCAATACTGTGGTAAGAACTAATAAAGTTGATTTCATTTTTTTTAAAAAATAAATAGAAAATAAATATTGTGCGTGAATGTAATGTACAATGACTCTGGGTCTATTGCGTGTAGTTTATATTATTGATATTATTATCGATATTTTTATTTTTTTTTTTTAAGTGTTGTTATTGAGAGTGTAAAAAATGAAAATGAATATATTAATCTACAATAATGTTTAATGTTAAAGAAAAATGAGAAAAAAAAATTCTAGAAAAATCTCTAATTTTTCATAAATCAAATGAAAAATAAGAGATTGAAAAAGACAAATAAAAGAAAAATGGATGAGAAATGATGAAGGAAGAAGGGATTAAACATCGTCATTAAATAAGAAATGGTGGATAGCCAAATTTGGAAAAAAAAAACAAATGCAATTCTGTTTACTCTATTTGAACTCTACTTGATTATAAGAAAAGAATTCATAGGGGTAACTTATGTTTGTTTCATCGGATGCATCAATCATTTCATTCAATTTTAATATCAACAATAACGATTAATTCATTTTTTTTTTCGAAATAAGAAAAAAGAAGAATCGAAGAAGTACAAAATGCACGAGGTGAAAATCGAGATCATTGTCAACATCAATTGATGCGTTCCACCTTCCCTCGCCACCAGTACAATACTCGTATATAACTACACTACATTTATATTAGATCAAGGAAATATTTATTTGTATGCATTCGAAATGTACATCTAATGTGTAATATTCGGAATATATGTAATATACACCCGAAATATATATGTATACCATAATAATGTAATAATATGTAAGATTTGAAACGAAAAAAAAATCTAGATAATGAACAGATGAGACGTGGTTAAGGGGGATATTACTAAAAATTGATGAAAAGAATGAATTTACATCCAAAAAAAGATAAAAGTAGTTATTGGTTAAATTTTAATTCATTCATTGTGTAAATATTCTTGAGATCGACTTAATTTATTTAATTATTTACTAATTCTTTCTTTAATACAAGATAATCAATTATTATTTTATCAACGGAATCTTTAATTATGTTATTAATTATTATTTTATTATCATTTTTATTTTTATTTTTATTATTGATTTTATATTATTATCAATTATTATCAATTATCATTAGTAATTCGTGGATGTCACCTTTGTCATCTTTATAACCCACCATTTTCACAGCCGCAATTCTTTCGAGGCATCATGCAGGTTATTTCCTTTCAAACCAAGTATAACATCCTAAAAAAAAAAATAACAATACTAGTTTGGAATTCATTAATTTAATTTAGTGACACATCATTTCTCGCATGTCCACAAGAAGAAATGTTTTATTTTTTTTATTTTTCAAATTTAGTTATTCATATGTGTGCAATGTTGTGAGACCATATGTACCGTTGAAAAGAAATTTACAACAAGTGCACTTGTTAATATTTCCTTTTTTGAATTTTGATGGCAAAGTATGTAGATTTGAGATTATATACTTCACTATCAATTATTTACATCAAGTTAAAAATTATTTTATTATTGAAACATTAAATTATGTCAGGAACTTTAGGAACTATAATAGACAACAAAATTATATTTGTTTTTTTTTTGTCGCGCCTGCGACATGTCTTTTCACCCAGGATTTATAATATTCGACAGGCGTGACACCGGGTGACAAATTTTGCTAACACGTTTTTTTTTTGAATCCAGTAATATAAAGTGAAACATATAATTACTCTTTCATTTACAATTTTTATTATTTATTTCTTTTGTTATAAAATAAATTACAATACAAGCCACTTTTCTGACAGATTTGGTTTAACTCCTTAATCTTGTGCATTGTACATTCCTGTCCAATGCTGGCGTCCGCGCTGTCCGTAAAAAATGGTTTTATAGTAAATTTTTGTGTTATTTACGTTCAAACACTGTTCAAACACTATCCCTTGACCCTTGAAAACACTGCAATACTACCATTCTCTATGTATAATCTAAATTGATTACCATATTTATTTGTTTTTAAAAGCTTTTATAGTCCTATTGCATAAAATCTCGGTAACTCTTTAAAACAAAATTTTAATATAAATATTTGATGCAACTTTGAAACTTCAAAGGTATGATATTCTACCAGGATTAAAAAATTGTTGATAATGTGCATTTAATAATTTCTGAAATGGAAATTCTTTGTTTTGTTTTTGAATTACCTACAAATTCAAATAAATACTGACACTTTCAAGGTTTATAATCTTACATAATTTGTTACCACTTAATGATACCTGACACTACAGTCATAGAAAGTTTAAAAAATTTTTTTAATAATAGATCAAAAACTCAATCATATCTTGTAAAAAGAAAAAAAAAGAATTTTCTATGTGAATTATTAAATATTTTAGGATTTATTTAGTATAATTTATTACAATTGTTATTGTTATTTCGTTAATGTTATTAATTGTTAAATTTTATTCAATTGTATTTCAAGTGTATTATTCGCCTACTCGATAAATTTGAATTACAATTTCTCAGATTATTTACATCACAAAAATAAACATATCTTCACGCTAACGGTCCGGTTCGGTCCGACTTGAGGTCAAAGTCAAACCAAACTGCTGGCAAGTCAAGCTGGACCAATCGGCTTGAAACCGAACTGGACCAAGCCATCTAAGTCGATGGTTTCAAATTGAAACTGATGGAGTGTAACGCAAAGTAAAATTGATCAGTCACGTTTCTTGTCACAACATGTGATTTTAATCCAGTAATATAACGCCATGTATACGAATTTTATCAATATCTCGAAACGTTCCCGTTTTCTAGTGTAATTATATATAAAATCAAAAATAATTATCACATATAAAATTTTTTATTTTATAAGTTAATATTAAAAGCAGTACTAAGTAATCTCAAAGGCGAGAATAATGTGCATCTCCTATAAAATATTCAGACCTATATCATCAAAATTGAGACAAAAATTGGCAGTTAAATTTCGAATAGATAAAAAAAATAAAAAATTATTTGCTCAATTTTAATGATATAAGTGTGTCCTTTTAATATAATATGTAAATAATTTCTATCTTTGAGGTTACTTGATAACATTTTTGGCATTCACTTATAATATAGAAAGTTTTATATGTAGCAACGATCGATGATTTTGTAATTATATTATTTAAAATCTCTCGGATCACATAATTTGATGTTTAGAGTAGCCATATATAAATTATAAATAGTAATAAATAAAACAATTAGATTGAGTATATATCATTAATAAAAATATTATAATAATTATATATACAAAATTATAAATAGTAATAAATCAAATAATTAGATTGAGTATATATCATTAATAAAAATATTATAATAATCATATATACAAAATTATCGATCATTGCTACATATAAAACTTTTTATATCATAAGTGAATGTCAAAAACGTTACCAAGTAACCTCAAAGACAGAAATTAATTACATATTATATTAAAAGGACACACTTATATAATCAAAATTGAGCGAAAAATTGTTATTTTAAAAAATTTTTTATATGTTCGAAATTTAACTACAATTGTTATCTCAATTTTGATGAGATAAGTCTCAACTTTTTATAGGAGATGCACATTATTCTCACCTTTGAGATTACTTAGTACCATTTTTAATATTTACTTATAAATAAAAAAATTTTATATATAGATAACAAATGGCTTGAAGTCAAACCGAACCGACGACTTGAAACCCCAAGCCGAACCGATTCGGCCCCATCAGTTCGGACCGGACCGGTTTGACTTAGACTTAACAACACTATTTGAATTTTTTCATATCTGATATCTAACGCAGTAAATTATGATATTGCGTGCAATTTAAAATATTTTTCTTTTGAATATAGACCAGCTAAAAAATGATGAGAATTCGAAATTTTTTTTTATTTGTGAATGACAATAAAATGATAAATCAATATTATTTTTTTTTTCTACAAGAAAATAATAATGATGATCTATATGTATATACAAATATTTTTTATTTCCCATTCCATGTTTTTATATTTTTATATATTATATAAATTTTTTTATATTTTTATATTTTGTATTTTTATAATAATAATAATAATAATAATAATAATAATAATAATAATAATAATAAAATTTTTTATGCCAAATTCCTCGAATCGCAACTTTCAGCAATTGAGGCTTCATAACTTGGAGGTGATCTATTATGTAATAGTCGATCCACATAAAGATTTCCCGGTATATTTAGAAAATTGATATTATTATTATTATTATGACTATTATCGCTATTATTGCGACTGTGATGATTGATATTATCATGACTATTATTTCGACTGTGATGACTAATATTATCGTGACTATTGTTGCTATTATTGCTATTATTGCTATTATTGCTATTATTGTGACTATGATGACTATCATAACTATTATTTCGACTATGACTATGGTGACTATTACTTCGACTATAATAACTATTATTATCATGATTATTATCATCATTATCATAATTTTCAATAACAAATTTACAATTATTATTTAAAAATATTTCTCCGACATTTTCACCTAATACTAATCTTGCCATTCTAAAATATTCTGGATCACATGGACAGTGAAAACTATCTTCATAACTAGGTAATCCAATATAATCTTCTAAAGCTCTACATGATAAAATTGTTATTGGTATATTTATTTTAAGTTCTGCTCTTTTGGATGGACTATAAGGTAACGTGAGAGCAAATGAAAATTTTAAATCATGTGCTACACTAACTAAAGGTGTATCACAACTATAATGAATTGGGGAAGGACATTTAGGTATAATTAAATTCATATTTTGTTGATATATAGTATTTCCTACATCTCCTTCTTCATAATCATCCATTAATCTGGATTCCCCAAATTCAATTAATTCTTGTGTTGTCCCTATTTTTGAATCACTAACTTTTTGATCATTTTTAGATGTATATGTAGTTTTCTCTATTAATTCTACTCTTACTCCATTAACTCGAAGCTTTTTAACATATGGACAAATTTTCATTTCGATTGGAATATTTTGTCCAATCGGATAACTTTTCTTGGGTATACTAATTTCATATGATAACTATTAAAATTGAATAAATAAAATTAATTGATTATTATTTATTGATTGATTATTGATTGATTAATATAATTTGATTATTTCATTATTTAATATGATAAATTATAATAATACTTTACCATATTATTAAATTCTCTCGCAAATCCTATACCTTCAGCATTAACATGATCAGGTATAGTTCGTAAAATTTCTACAGGTTGTCGATATTTCATTTTAGGAGTAAATCTTGATCTAGAAGCTTGGGCGTATAAACAATATGAAACTTTTCCCAATTCGGTATTAACTGTTTCGGGTAAATCACCTGGTAAAAATAGTTCAAATGGATATGTATGTATTCCTGCTGGTAACTTTTTTATATTATTATTATTATTATTATTATTTGATTTTCGAAGTAATGGAACTTTGAAAAATTTGAGGCGTAAATCTCCTTTTTCTTTTTCTTGTCGTCGTTGTTGTTGTTGTTGTTGTTGTTGTTGTATTGGTGATTGTGGTGAAATTGGTGATAAAGATCCTTCATTAGATATTTCATCATCTTCGGAGGGTAGAAAATTCCATGTTTTAGAAATTAATTCTTTTTCTGATGAAATTGTTTTTCGATCTATTATTATTATGTCATGTTTATTATAAATTATAAATGTCAAAATAATAAATAAAAGTAAAAATATTTAGTAATATGTAGTAATATCTAGTAATATCTAGTAATATCTAGTAATATCTAGTAATATTTAGTGTTATCTAGTAATATCTAATAATATCTAATAAATAATAATTACCTGAATCTAAAATAGTTTTCGTTTTACCAATAAATTTCAGTTGCAATTTTTTAATTTTCGTAGGTCGAGATAAATGTAACATCAAATCACCTCTCAATATACAACCAACTGCTTCTTCAGGTTTTCCTCGAAAAAATATAACCGGTTCAACTAATTTAACATCTAATTGTGACTTTGATTTATTACATTGTTCATCGTCGTTGTTGTGATCATTATGAATGTGATTATTATTGTTGTGATGATGATGATGATGATTTTGATAATGATTTTGATTATTAAATTTTGGAATAAATGAAAAAGAATTTGTTGAAAATACATTTGTAAAGGAAGGAGAAAAAAATGATGCTTGAGTTGATTGAGCAGATGGTGATAATGATTGAGGTATATTTACTAAAGATGAAGTTTGAGAAGATGGTAGAGAAATTGATGAATCCATGGGTGAAAATGTATTAAACATTTTTTTTTTTTTTTGAAATTTATTAGATTTTAAAATTTGTTAAGAAATTATTTGAAAGCATAAAATAATTTATATATTTATATAAAATAATTTATATATTTATATAAAATAATTTATTATAAAAAAAAAATTTTTATTATAAAAAAAAAAGAATTTCTAAAAAAAAAAAATGGAAAAGTACGAATTTTATTTATTTATTTTTTTTTTCGACCAGCGAAATCTAAACTAAACAAGCAAATCCAAACAATAATTACAATTATTTTGAAGTAGAAGTGGGTAATGAAAAAAAAAATTCCGTTAATTCCGGAAATAAAAGAAGTTTGTACTACTTTATCTTTATATATTTAAATTTATTTTTTATCATTATTACAATAAAATTATACTAACACGCCTTTTTAAAAACATTTACATTTTAAAATTTAAATAATAATAAAAATAAATACATTAAAATATATATATATATAATATAAATACATTATTAACGAAATATATATGGTTAAATATACAAAATATATAAATAGATATATATTTCTTTTTTACATTCCTTTTATCTCCCTTTATTTTTGAACTTACTATTTGTATATGTATAACAATGAAATTCTATTCTCGCTACTATAATCCCATATAGATAAAATTATAAAATCATGTGAAGCATAAAACCATTTAAATTATATATATGTGTGTGTGAAACCCCTTGATACGTATATACAATAACCAACCGGAATTTTAGAACGCAAATTTCGTTTACTTCTAGTACTTATTTGTTTACACACTTATTCAGCCTAAAAAAAACTTTTCTGAAAAAGTCTTCTTCCCACCATTGTTTTATATTTATATGATAATTGATAACATACTTTCAAATTTACCCCCAAAATTTATTCTCAAATTATTCAAATTTTTTTTTTTTTGGAAAATTTATTGATTTGAATGATTATTCAAATGGGGATTTCTCTATAGAATTTAATTTTCAATTTTATTCTTTGGTAATTCCAGTAATTCCAGTCAGAAATTTCTTTAGTCCTGGAATACTATCAAAATAATCTTTATAAAATATTTTGGTTAACGCTTAGTAATTGTGCGTAAAATTACGTAATACTGCAGTAACACCCATTGTGAATACTAATTTAGAATATAAGTACATAATCATTCCTTAATACTATTCTCATTCTTTCTTCTAACCTTTCTTTTTAACCCTTTCTTTTTAACCCTTTCTTCTAGTCCTTTCTTCTAACCCTTTCTTCTAACCCTTTGTGCTTCGTTTCCTAATCCAATTCCAGCTTCAAAACTCATATAAGGTATCCTTTTCCATGGTACACCACAAATCCCAATAGATGTATTGGAAGTGTGATCCAACATAACCCAAATTGGTAATTCCAATTTTCCTTTCACTATTGCTTTAACTCTTTGTAATTGAACTAATGATAAAGGTGTAAGAATATGAAAAGTATGATTAATTGGATCAATTGATCGTATTATGGCTAAACCTATACAATAAGATTCAGATGGCGAAGGTGGTGAAAAATTTGGGCATGAAAAATAATTTGGTGGTTTCTATAAAAATAATAAAAATAATAAAAATTACTATAAAAAAAAATAATTTATAAATCAATAATAATAATAATAATAATAATAATAATAAATTTAATTAATTTATTCATACAATTCTTATGTGTTCTTGTTTTTCTTGTGATGGAATATTTGGAATATTTGAAATATTTGAAATATTTAAAATATCCGGATCATCCGAGATATCTCCAATCAAACCAACTAATGACCCATTTAATGCATATAATAATTGACTTAAAGGAACATCTCCAAAAAGTAAGAAAATTCCTTTATTCAATCCTTTGGTCCAATCCAAACACCAAGGAATTTGATGAATTAATGGTATATCAAATTTCCACCATTTCGTATTATCTTGTTTTGTAATATTAGAATAAAGATATGAAATTAATGACAAAGTTCTATGATCTGATGATTGATATTTGGTAGAAATTTTTGTAGAATCAATGGATTCAATAAATATAATATTTGGTGATTCTTCATTTGGTGGTGAAATTATATAATCCGGAAGTTTTGGAAGATTTTTATATGTTTGTGTAGGTGAATAAAATTGAATAATATCTGTTGGTTTGGCTAATTTTAGGATATTAAGAAAGATATCATAACCTAATCCTAAATTTATATATTAAAAATTATTAAAAAAAATTATTATTAGAGATTAAATCCAGAAATATGATATTTAAATATTTACCAGTTACCCAACCATGAGTATTAATAATTAATGGAACCTTTAAATCCTCATCACTCATATACATTCCAAAGTCTGGACCACACGCAATATCACGATGATAAATAGTAATTAATTCTTGTAAACAATCTAAATAATAATCTGGATCATCACGAGGAGTATTATGACCCAAGAAATATGTTCGATAAGGTTGTTTAATATGCGTAAATGGTGGACCTATTTATTTATTGTACATAATTTTAATTAGGTAATTATATAATTATATGAATATATAATTATTATATATAAACATACCAAGAATAGGTGAATCTAAAATATTTAATGATATCAATCCTGCCGGTGTGAATTCAGATTGTCCAATATCACTCTCTATGTACGCAATTTTGGGATAACTGACTCAACAACGATAATTTCGTCAATTATTACTTTTTTAACTTTTTTAATAAATCAAAATTACCAAAATTAATTAATTAATTAATTAACTAAACTTACATTTTAATCAAATTATTTAATAAATATCTAGAAAACGTTGATTTACCAACATTTCGATGTCCACATATTATTGTGATGGGTGGAAATTCTAATAAAATATTCCGAATGTGAACTTATAAGTTTATTTTATTTTATTTTTTTTATGACTTTATTCAAAAATAATATTAATAATATATTATCCGTACTATATTCTTTAAAATTTGTGACAAGTTGACTGACAACACTTTTCCAGGAATCCAATAAATTAAATAATGTTACATCGGGTATTACTTCAAAAATCTATTGGATTTTTATAAAATATTTGTTAGATTAATATTAAATAAATCAAAAAATTTTAAAAATGAGTTTAAATGAATTTGAAATAATACCGGATTAAATCCATTAATTTTGAATAAATCTTCCTTTGAATCTAAATTTTTCCTTTTTTCCCTTTCCATTGAAAATATACCTTTAAAAGTAAACCGAGCTATCGATTCAAATCCTTTAATTCCACTCCATGACATTCCACGCAATGCTAATATAGTATCAAAATTTTCTTCTTTAATTGATTGTAATTTCTTCAAAAGATTGATGATGATTTTTTTGATTTCTGGTGTTGATTTAATTCCAGAATGATTTGAATTTTCCTCTTCTTCTTCTTGTCTCTTTACCGATTCAATCGAAACAAGTGCATGAGTTTTTGGTGAAAATATTGGTTGAAAATTTAAATCTTTATTCTCTAGGTCTAAGGAATTCAATCCGGAGTTTAAAGAATTTATCGCACTCAAACGATAACCCATAATAATTGTATCTCCATATATCGGAGCAATAAGAACATATCCCTGAAAGTTTATCGTCTTTTTTTTTTTGTTAAAATTGTTAAAATTGTTAAAATTGTTAAAATTATTAAAATTATGTCAAGAATTGTGAATAAAAAAAAAATAAGGCATCCAATAAATCCAAAAATTATATTCACTTCATTCCTCTTCATCCCAACAACACATATTTCTGATTCTTTCGAACGAAAAACATTAGACATTGATGGAGTAAAGCGAGATACTGTTAAAGGATCCAACAATACACTATATACATTTTTATTATAAATTTTTATTTTTATTATAATTTTTTTTTGTTCAAAATATTTTTCTAAAGATTTTAAAACCAAATCTACAATCAAACTGCCTACTTTTTTTCTTTTTTAATAGTTTTCATATCAGTAAGCATATCAACATCGTCAACATCGCTATCAACTACAAAAGATTCTTCTGGATCATTACTTAGATCCATCGATTCCTCATTATCTTTCTTCATTGGAAACGATATTATTTTGTTCTTTCGCGAATTTGTTAATTTGTTTTTTTTTTTTCTAAATTATATTACGCGCGTGATGTATTGATCACATGACGAAGTGATTTGCAAAACATTAAATTTATGAAATATTATTGTTCATTTCTAGAAAATTTTTGAAAATGCCATTGGAAATATTCCAATGAAGGACACATTTCAAAAATTTTATTATTATCTTCTTCTAATATCGGTTCGACAGAAATCGTAGCAAATCTTACAAAAAAGTTCTGTAGATTTTTTAATTCTGGAAGAAATTTCAATACATCCTATCACATGTGTATATTTAGTTATTTAGTAAATTTAATATAAAATTTTGAATAATAATAATAATAATAATAATAATAATATTTACCAATTTTTTTAATCCAGTAATACTAACTAATTCCAATTTGTATAAATCTAAACCTTTACAAATAATTCCAAAGCATCCTTGAGTAATTTCAATTTCTTCCAATCTCATTTCTCTTAATTTTTCTTTTTTATGAATATAATAATTAATGATCATCCCCAAATCACAATCATACAATTGAACTCTCAAATCTTTTTCTGATGCTTCTACACTACTATCTAATTGTCTTTCAACCTTAATTAACGTAATCTTTAAACAATTCTTGTAATGATCTGCTGTGACTAATACTAATTTTGTTGTAATTTCTGTTATATTGGATAATTTTAGTGTTGTTATTCTAGGACAAAATTTAAAAATGTTTAAAAGAAATTCTTCGCTCACAAAAATGCATTGATAAAGTGTTAATGTTGTTAAATTTGGAATCATTCGAAAAACTGGAATCATAATATCATCATTGTAATTTTTTTCGTAAATATTCAATCGACGAATTCTTTTACATTTCTCTACAATCGAAAGTAAAACTTCCCCATCACAAATAATATCTTTTTTTAATTCTAATTCTTCTAAATACGGACAATGTAATGCCAGTGCTTTCATTGCTTGTCCATCATAAATATCCACTGTTTCAGGAAATTTGAGAAATCGAAGATTAGGTAATCGTTCGGCGATTTCATAGATTTGATCTTTATTTAATATTCTACCACCACTAATACAAAATACTTCAATTCTAGGACAACATTCTAAAGTTTCCAAAATTAATTGATAATTTATATTCAACTTATCTAATTCTAATATTCTAAGGTATTTACCATAATAATGAAAACATTTTCCTTCCTTTGCAAACTTTAGAGTTTTTAAAAATTTTTCAAAAGAATGAGTACGAGATTCATTTCTCAATCCACGAAATTTATACCACAATCGTTCGGTAGCTAATTGATTCCACCAACGACTTACTGTAGTAAAAGGTAAAACTTCGCGTTCTAAGGGTACATGAGCGAAAATGTTGGAAAGAATTAAAGAAATTGAAAATGCTTTAAGCGAAACAGGTATATTGAAAGTTATATCGTTATTTATTATCAACATTTCTCTAAAATTCAATGAATTTTCAAGTTGTTTCAGGGTTACTTTCAAGTTATCTTTCAATTTCTTCAATTCGAATTCGTAAGAAAGAGAAATTGAACAAATGGGATAAAAAAATAAATTGATTAAATATTTGGCTGACTTCCTTATTTGGTAATTTATTTATTGTATCCTTTTTTTTCCCTTTTTCCTTTTTATTTTGTTAAAATTTGGTTACAGTATTTGAAAAAAAGTAATATGTACAATAGCGTTGAGAGCCAATAAAAATTCGCACAAACGCAAAAATGTGATTTAGAAATATATACAATATATACAGATGACAAATCATAAATTATATAATTATTTTCGTTAAATTCTACGGCCAACCGCCGCCCTTTTCTTAAGTTTCCACATTGCATTCCGTTTTCGTTTTTTGGGATCAGTATTAGTTATTGAAAAATCTAATGGCGAACGTTTGACTATGTATAAATATATTTTTAGATAGGTTTATTCATTTATTTTATTATTTCAAATAGAATTAAAATAATTAAAATTGAATTCATTCCGTAAAAAAAAATTTTGGTTAAAAATAATAATAATGATAATAATAAAAAGAAATCACTTACCCTTCGCTATCGCTGACTTGCCTTTTTGATCATTAGGATCTAATATATTTGCACTTCCTAATATTGAGAAAGTTAATAAAACGGATAACAATATATATATGAATTTCATATTCTTTTTTAGCGAATTTTTATTCACTTCATTCGTTATTTTTATTAAAAAATCAAAAACCCAAATTAAGATTACATTAACATGTGTGGCTTTAAATCTTTAACGAGAAGGCTTTGCTTGTGCTCTTACGAAAATGAAGTAAAAAAGATTCATGGCTTTGAATGTTCTAAATTCAAGTGCCACCCGAGCCACATATTATCTATAACAGGACTGAGAATAAGAGAGAATGAAATATTATGTGACGTTTTATTACGTCAGGATTACGTTAAGAAATTTCAGTATTTAGAGATATTCTCATGATCATGAATAGTGTCTACAAATAATAAATATATTTATAAATTTTATTTCTAACGGACATGTATCGAATTATTAAAACGGGACAATAATCATCGAAAAATAATAATAATATAATAACAATAATAATATAATAATATTAAATAATAATAATATAATAATAATAATAATATAATAATAATATAATAATAATAATAATACAAGAAATACAAGAGATAAAATGGATAGTAAAAAGTTTCTCATAATTTCCTTGATATTATTTATCGTGGTTTGTCTAATCTATCAGTATTTAATGAGTAATCTAGAAAAATTCTCCGAAAAAGGTGTTTTTTTTTTAATGCTATTCCATATAGTTTCAAGGCTTTATGAATTCTCTGTCATTTATACTCTCTTTTTCTCATGTTTTTTCTCTCTATATTACAAGTGTTCAAAACTGATCGATTTGGAGGTGTTTATCCAATATCTCGTTATCGTTCTTCGATAGATTTCATTAACCCTGATCAATGGTATGACGATTCTTATTTCATGTTGGATTCAGTGGTTATGTAATAAAATATACGTGTATCTCTATTATTTTTGTTGTCAAATAATTTATAAAAAAAAAATCACATTTTTCCGTCTCATATATTTTATCGATGTAAAAAAATTTATTGTATCAAATATACATTATAATTTGTATTTTATAAACTTTCAAATGAAAAAATATATTCAAGGTAAAAAATAAAAAATAAAAATTATTATAATTTTTGGTTCACCCGGGTTATTTTATATTGAACAATTTATAAACTTTCGTAACGCGTTGAATGCAAATTATATTGTCACCAAAATTTACCAAAAAAAAAAAAGCACCAAAAAATATTCGAATATAATTGTTAAATTAAAATTTTTGAAAAGGGTTGACTCTTTTGATTGCTATCAGCAAAAACTGCCCGAGATTCGAAGAATTTAATTAGCTATATAACAAGAACATGAAATTTTATAAACGTAGAAAAAAAAAAATTATGACAATAATAATAATAATGAAAAATGATAAAAATACAAACAACAAGAGGACATCTACGCCTAGCTTCTGCTAACGTATGTACGGTATGTTGATGCAAAGATTCGGTTTTATTCCTATTAGATAATTTATTTTTAATAATTTATTGACATTTTCAATTCGAAGATTTTAAATATTGAAAATAAAAATCGCGAAATACCACAAAATAACAACATATATTTCATTATCCCAAGGATCTCGAAACATAGTAACAATACTATTAACATAATTATCCCAATCCGGATCAAAGAACCGTGGAATATTATGACCATTGGGCGCTGATGATTTAGGACGTACTTTCCGTCTTCGAGGTTTTTCTTTTTCAGTTGAATCGTTAATAGTAGTTTCTTTAAATTCTTTTGATTTTAATTCCCAATATGTTTTAATTAAATCATCATCTAAACTATATAATTGATTATTATAATTAATATATATGATAATAATAATAATAATAATAATAACAATAATAACAATCAATTATTGTTAACTAAATTTACATGTTTTCCACTGATTCCCAAGTATTTTCTTTTTCGTCGTAATTTCTCCATTTAATCAAATATTGAATACGATTCTAAATATGGTAAATATAACAAAATATAATATAATAAATATAATAAAACAACAAAATATACAAAATATATTAAAAAATATAATAAAATAAATAATAAATTATATATAATAAATTATATAATAAATTATATAAATAAATTATATAATAATAAATTATAACGTTCAACTAACGTCCTCTGTAAACCTATGATCAACAATATAATCTACAAGATACAAATTATCTTCACTCGATTCACTGCGAACAGTTTCTTGACTATCACTTTTCTCTGCTTCTTCATCAATTCTTTCTTTCATTTCTCTTATTTTATTTCCCGTTTTCTCGAAATTATTTTTATCTATTTTCATTATAATATTGCACGTTTTTTCATGTAGACAATTATGGTTAGCGTGGTGGTTATGGTTATTATCTGAAATAATACATAATGATGATAAATCGTCGTTTTCTTTATTATCTATTTTTGTCTCCATGGGAAAAAAAATGACAAAAAGGCATTATAATCTCGTGAATTTTATTTATAAATTTATTATCTAATGACATAAATCAAATTCACTTCTAAACTTTTTATGAAGCCCGTATGAGTAACGAAATAATGTATTGACAATGAAACTTTAAATCACATGTTTACCCAATATTTTGGAAATTACAAATTAGGAGATTGAATTAATTAATCACTTTATATAGATAAATATTGACGTCAAAAAAAAGGGGGGGCTTGTGATCTTTCTGATTTCGAAAAAAAAAAAAACGAAATGCCTTTATCATCTTCAACGATAGAAGAAAATCTTCAAAATTTGATAGATCAAATAAAAATAATTTATTCATCCCCAAATCTAGAATCACATTATCTAGAATATTTTAAACGACAAGTTACGCAAATTGACGAAGGGGCACCAGATAATGTGAAGAAAGTAATATATTTTAAATTTTTTTATTCATGAGATTTTATGCAATAATTATGAAATGATTATTCAATAATTATGTAATAATTCATTCATTCATTCATTCGTAGGTTGAGAAAACATGTTCTGAATTGGGTATAAGAAATGTATCAAGATTTTATAAAGTAGAATCAGATTATTATGAATGGGAATTACAACGACGTGTGTACGTAATTTTTTGAATGAATTTTCGGATACGAAATATTCTTTATCATGGTTATCATTTTTTGTTGATTTCGTTCATGGATTAGATTTCGTTTAGTTGCACCATCTGTAGAACATCTTTGTAAGAGTGTAATATTCGAAAATACTCGGTTTCCACATGATGAAATTAACGGTACTTTCCATCTCTGTACATTATTTTCAAAAAGAAAGAGGAAATTGAAAACGGAATTCTTTATTCTATTATTTATATTATTTTTTAGATCCACTGAATTCCAAATACTATTGTGTTATAGTTCAGGTATTTTTTTTTTATATCATCAGGTTTATCTGTTAGTTACATATATATATATATATATATATTATACTCAAATTAAATTATATTCACCAATTAAGTATGTAGGATCAATTAACACTCAAAAATTAATGAATTATATAAGAAGTTTAAAAAATAAATCCATTAGTAAAAGGAATTATAATTTTCGTGTTGCCGATGTTGAGGTAATATTTGATATTATGGATTATGTATTAAAAGATACCAAAGAATATGTATTTAAATATATTTAATGTAAAATAACTTTTTTTAGAGAATGGTTCAGCTGACAGGATTTGAACATAAAGGTGTATCACCCATTGGTAAATTATATATATTTATATATCTCTCTATATTTTTTCATAATAAAATTTTATATGATTTTTAGATAACATTAAATTATATTATATATCAATATATCAATAGGAATGAATCAAAATATTCCAATAATTGTGTCCAAATCTATAACAGAACTTCATCCACCAGTATTTTACTTTGGAGCAGGACATAAAGATTGGAAATTGGGAATGCCAATTCTTGATTTTATTAAGGCCAATAAATGTTTTGTCACAGATTTATCATGAATATTCCTTTACCAAGAAATTTTGTCGCATGATCAAAAGATGATTTCTTCACCACCACCATCACTATTAATCAATAACAATCAATTATCTATTTGAGATTTTCTTTAATTTATTTGACTTACATAATTTGACAAATTAATATAAAATCATAACAAGTAATAGCTAAACACGTTTATGACAAACATTTATGAATTGATAGAATTGCATGAATAAAATAAAAGATTCATAAATAAAATTTCTGATTTTAATATAAATTCTCATAATTCTCTCTCATTTATTAATTTCCTTTAATTTACTTAATTTACTTATGTAGGATTTCCCTTTCCTTTTTTTCTTTTATATGGATTATCATAAATTATTTAATTATTTAGATATTCTGATTTAATATATATATAGTATATCTTTTCTACCAAAAATTGTTGGTTTTTATAATGAGATCCTTACTTCAACAAGGAGAAGGAGGAATTGTTTAAATAAAAATCACTGATGATATTATTAATATCATTCAATTAAAAAATGATTTAAAAATTTGGAAATGCAAAATTTTGGAATTTATCATTATCATCTGATAAAGATAAAGTAAATGTTGTCCAAACTTTTTGATCTGTTAAAATAAACTCAAGATTTTTATGATAATCTATAAAATAATGATTTTTCTATTCATAATTTGACTAACGAATCGATTTTTTTAAAAAATATTTATCATTTACGCCTTTTTGTATGATTATAATTTATCAAAAGAGGAAATCTATTTTGAATTCTCATTAAATATATATCGAAATCATATTCTTTTTTCAGCTATCATATATATATATATTAAATGTAAAATTTAAGTTAAAGTAATATATTGATCATTTCACCAAAGCATTTTTTTTTTTCAAATACCTGACTTTTCCCTTTTTTTTTTCCCTATCAACATGAAATACTAATTTTATTTGATAATACTTTTGAAAACCATTACATAAAAAATCAAAAACCAAAAATCCAATAAAATAAATCATTTATTTCTCTCTCTATACTAATTATTATTATATTTGAGAATTAAGGTTGTTTTTCTTGGGTGTTAACCCAATCCATTTTTTCTGTCGTTTCCATTTTTTCTTTTACTTCTCTTGGTGTGTTTTCGAGTTGGAGCGATAATTCTTCAAAATCTGGCATTTGTGCTAACCAATTTAAAACTTTTTGATAATCTGATTTTTCTTCTTCCGTCTGATCTGTATTATTATTATTATTGTTATTGATATTCTGGTGAGATTGGGTGCTATTATCGATCGTTTTTTGATAACCATAACTAATATTATCATTGATCGGACTTTCCTTTTTAGCAAATGATGATGATTTATTGTTGTATTGATTAATCTCAATGACCATATCTAATTCATCTGACATTATCGTGGTATCAGAACTTTGACGTTCATCTTGAGATGTTAAAACTGATGCACTTGAAGATTGATGTGCGTTTTGCGTTGTCCAGACATAAGACGTTGTTAATGTAGAAGTTGGAATTCGTTGAGCAAAATTGTGAGGATCAAATTGAGATGGGATATGTTGATTCATATAAATGTGTTGAGGTAAATTAAATTGAGTTGTAATCTGTTGTTGTTGTTGTTGTTGTTGTTGTTGAGGAATGTTATATTGAGAATTATATTTGGGTTGTACTAAATTTTGTTGATGAGGAATTGTGACCTGATGAGTGTAACTGTGTTGAGGGTAATTATATTGAGTTACTGTCTGTTGTTTAGATCCAATGTTTCGAGATGTAATATTTCGAGTATTATTATTATTATTATTATTATTATTATTATTATTATTGTTTTTATTATTATTATTATTATTATTATTATTATTAATTTTGTTATTATTATTATTATTATTATTATTGATGTTGTTATTATTTTTATTATGATTAATATTATTATATTGGTTCGAGGAAGGATTAGGTCGGTTGTCATCATGTGTCTCTTGTAATTCGGATTTTGCCTTTTTTGGTTTTCTTTCATTCTTATCAACAGTTTTCTTGATATTTCTGTAAACTCCATTAATAAAACAACTTTCAAATTCTTCAGGAATTGTCCAAAATTGTCCTTTATTCGGTCCCATATTATCATCTCTTTCTGTTTTCTGGAAAGCTGGGCAAAGCGAGAGATTATGACGAATAGAATTCTGTTTGGATTTTATAAAATTTATTGTAAATTATTGTAAATTATTGTGAATGGATTTATGATGTCCATAAATTTCGTAAAAATTTTATAAAAATTTTAAAATGTTAATAATTAATAATAATAAAAAAAAATTTTTTTTTTAATTACACACCTGCCAACCTTTATTCTCTTTCTTAAAAAATGGATAAGTTTTTGAAATCCAACTATAAATTTCACACAGTGCCAATTTTTTATTTGGAGATTGAAGGATTGCTTGACCGATGAGAGAAGAATAAGTATAAGGTGGCTTTGTATGTGAATTTGTAGGTTTTGTTTCATTTGATTCAACAACTTCATTTACAATCGTCTCAATCGTCTCATTCTCTACAATAGGATCATCAATTTCTATTTCAATTTCATCTCGTTCATCTTGTTCTAATTCTTCTTGAGTTCGCTATTTTATGACAAATTATAAAAAATTCGCAATAATATATTTTAAAATTCATATCAAAAAATTTTGGTTTCTATTTTTTTTTTATGTTTATACCTTATGTAAAGCTGCTTTATTATTTAAGTATGTGTCCATTGTCATAGCCCCAGTACGTAAAGCCTGTACTATGGGCATCTTGGAACTACTCTCGATTGCTTTATCATAATTCATTGTCTGAGGATCTGTTACCTCATGGGAATAAGCTAAGCTTTGGTTATTCATTTAAAATGTAAAATATATTACTATAGGTGGAAACCTTTGATAAAAATAAATATTTTGAATGAAAAATTTTTTTCGATGCTTATAAACCGACTCCTCAACAGTAAATTTTTTAGGTCAATCCTTTCAAAACAAATAAAAGAAAAATTTTTTCGGTTTTATCGATTTTTGGAAATCAAGTTGCACAAAAATTCCTTGTCGAAAAACACGTCTTGAAATGTGTAAAAAAAATAGACGCGTCAAATACTGCGGTGTAAACGACCACACTTTTGTATTTATTGTGTAACAATCTGAAAGCAACAACAAAAGTTGCCCGAAATTCAAAATTACAAATCGTTTATTTTCCTTTAGTCATAATGGAAAATCTATGAACTAATCCACATGATCTGAACCAATATAGACTTATCGACTCAATGAATCTCGATTAAATTTTCACAAAACTTCATTGACTGATTGAGGCTTAAGAAAAATTTCTGGTCGTCGTTGATTTTTTCTTGTATTTCATGTGAAAAACTTTCTGTAATCAAACCAGATTCGTTCATCTTTTAAAGAAGAATTAGAGAAATTACTATTTCTAGATAAAAATTTGATCTTTTTTTATTATTATTATATTATTATTATCAGGTGAATATTGTTGATCAGATACACCAACACAAGGTGTGCAAGGTACACAAAGTTCAAGATGTAAAAGTTTCGTTTTTGAAACTCCAAAGATATATTGGATGCACATGCTAAAATGTGATGTATCTAAAATAAAAAATTATTTTCGGTTATTATTTTTTTTTTCCATTATACTATTCTTATTATGTTTACTATAATAAAAACTTTTTTAGTATAAAGAGTTTTCAGTAAACTTTGTAATATAATTTTAGTATATAAACATCATTACATTATTAAGTTCAGTTCACTTAGCTTGGAAACTTATAAAACTATTTAGTATTTCATTTATAAGTTTTTTTTTATTTTTGTAATATAATTTAAATATTTTGATAAAAAAACCCCCTATTTCCAAGTGAATAAGATTTTTTTTAACAAATGTGAATATATTTAAATATAATTTTGAAATTTTTTTAAATAAAATTAAATTTCTTATTAAATTTTAAATTTTAAATATTTTAATTATTTTGTCAAAATATTATCTATTTACCTATTGAATAGCCAGATAAGTGATAGATAGGTATATTATTTATGCAGAAGATTGGAAATTTCAATTATTTAATATTTATAAAAAATATCTTATATTATATTATATATTAGTATGAAAAATATTTTATATCACATATTGAGTATCTAATCTTATTTTGAGTTTGATCTTCTATATAAATACTATATCTATTTGCTACCAATAGATAATATATATAACATAATATAATAATTTAATAACAAAATAATTAATTTGACTAGGTACAATTATTTGTTATAATCTATAATAATAATGTTGGTAAAAACTTTTGAATTTTTACCATGTAATTTATCTTTAATCTTTATAATAACAAGTATCACAACAGATGTCACAACATAATTATGTTGTGAAATCTTAATTTATATATAATGATGGAATCATATATATGTCATCATTCGAATAACAATGGAATTATATATGCATCATTATTTAATTAATGATAGGATCATATATCAGAAAATTTTTAAGAGCAAATATATTTGAATATATTTGTAAATTCAAATATATTCAGATTATACTTGTATACAAAATTATTTTGGATGCAAGTATAATTCAGATATATTCACTCTTAAAAATTTCCTGACAGCTATATTCCTGTTATTAAGTATACTATCAATATACACATCATAAATGTTATCAGGAAATACTATTAAAATAATTTTATCATATTTAAGGACATGTTATAGCTATATATGTTTCCAAAATTAATTTCTGATTTTTGAAATATTTCATCTTTTTTGAGATTTACATATTCTATATATAAAAGTAAAAAAATACCTAGTTAAGTATATCTTTAATCAAGAAATTTATCTGAATAGTTAAAAAATTTTGAATTTTAATTAAAATAATTTTGTCTTTTATGAAAAACTATTTCAACTTTTTTTTTTCTAAAATTACAATTTTAGAATTCAAAATAATTTTGTATATAAGTATAATTCAGATATACAGTATCTGAATAAATTTAAATATTTAATATGGATAAATACAAAAGTGATCAAATATATATATTTGAATTAATGTAGTTCAAATATATTTGGATATATTCACTTTTAAAAATTTCTTGATATAGTTTTACTAAATATTAAATATCAATATCTCATATATTGAAAATAATATAATTATATTATTTCCACTTAGTCTAAATTATTTCTATTCAGGTATAATGATAGAATCACATGTGCATTGTCACTTGAATAATGATGAATTTACATTTGTGTTGTCAAATTTGGATGTCTATAATATATAAAAAATATGATGACCAATTTATATTTGTATCGTTGTCATTGGTGGTTTCTGATTTCCTTGTGAACAAACCAGTAGAGTAACTTAACAGTTTTTTTAAGAAGTTTATAGTCTTTTCCCAAAGATAAAACTGTTGTTCAGTTGTTTTAGAAGGTATCACTGATTCAATTATTTTAGAAAGGGAATTAGACCTTTCATCTAATTTATTTCAATATCTTTTTAAGTTCATCATTACTTTTAGTATTAATATTAATTCATTAATTGTTTTTTAATTTTATTATCATTAAGTATTACTTCCACTTATTCAAGTTAAGTATTATTTCAAGTTCAGGATTTTTAATAAAAGTTTGTAATTAATTTTATTAACTCAAGAATAATAACATTATACAATTATACAATCAAGTATTTAATCCCATAATATCTATTATTCCTTTGTTAACTACATACTTTATTATTTAATATAACTTTTATTTAATATTTTCAATATTTATTATTTTATTAATTCAATTACAGGATAATTTTTACAAGTACTTATCTTGAAATTACAAATTATAAAATTAAATTTATCAATTTCAAATAAGTTACAAATTATCAAAATTCAAAAATTATAAAATTGTAAACTAAAGAGGAACAAGGTAATTTATACTTAAATTTAATGATCTTCATTACTGTGCCGTTACTATGTCTTACTGTGTATTACTGTACCTTACTATGCACTATTTCTATTGGTTACTATTTCTTTATACTATTTATTAAATATATTTAATACTAATTGATAATAGATATTAATAATTATTGTTAAATAATGATATATGATACTAATTAATATTATAAATTGATAATTATGTTTATGTAATTAAATATCACATGAACACGTGATTTTGTATTATTATTTTGTAATTAATTATTGTATATTATATTAGAAAATTTAATTAGGTATAAATTTATGGAAATATCACATGATCTTCAGAAATTTATATCTAAAAAATTTAATTTTTTAACTTTAACCAAGATTTAGGTAACAGGAAGTGATTTTCTACTAAGATATTTCTAAAATAGATAGAAAACCCTAGTTTTTGGTTACAAGATAATATATATTTCATTACTATAGTATCAATATTCACAAAGAAATTCACATTTAAATTCAAACATCTGTAAAAATTTATATCATAATTTTTTCGTAAATTTTTGTAATTCTATCAGAAATTTTTTATTACGTTACAAAAATTTCCAGCAGAATTATGAAAATTTATGAAAAAATTATAATATAAATTTTCACAGATGTTTGAATTTAAATGTGGATTTCTCTGTGAATATCGATACTATAGTAATAAAACATATATTATCTTGTAGCCAAAAATTAGAACTTTTAATTTATCTTGAAAATATCTTAATAGAAAATCACTTCCTGTCACTTAAATCTTAGTCAAAATTAAAAAATTAAATTTTTTAAATATAAATCTCTAGAGATCATGTAATATTTTTATAAATTTACATCCAATTAAATTTCCTAATATACTGAATATAAATATTAATTAAAAAATTATTAAAGTATCATTAAAATATTACTATAAATTAATATATACTAATTAAATTTTAAACACTACTATTTTTAAAAGTTATTATTAATTATTTACAAGTGTTTTTAATATTACTTACTATATTTTTAATCATGATAATTTCATTCTGTAATATTGTCATCTAGTCATATATTGAGTTGATGATCTAATAGATCTCTGTCATTGATCCATATGTAGTATATATATATTGAATTAATGATCCTAATCAATTTTAAGTATAGAATACTTCCTGATATAGATTATAATGGGTTAATTAGCTTTATTACATGTTTGATAATCTGAATACAATTATGTCATCAGGCCATTTATGATACATCTTTTATCAAGTTAACAATTACAATCAATTTCAAATATAAGTTACTTCCTGATATAAGTTATGATCAGTAATATGTGACCCCTTTACAATATATTTTAATTCCTTTACAAATCCAAAATCACTAATAAAATTTGTATAGTATATATTAATTATAGTTGATTTCAGTTATAAGAGACTTATTGACTTAGGTTATGTGACTATCTGTGATAACTGATTTGTATTCATATTGTTATTTTGAAATATATTTCTGTTTATTAATCCTAATTTATTTCTGTTATAAGAAAATAGTCAAGATATATTATATATCCAATTGGCCTTATAGTAAGTTTGACAATCTAAATGTGATTATATCATTATGCCTATTACATTTGATTAAAAAAATAATCACGTGAATGTTATCAATGTACTATCAAATATACTGTCATTATGTATTGTCGCACCAATATGTGAACAAGGGTCTGAAGGATAACTAATATTCTTTAACTAAACTAACTTAAACTACTTAAATAATTCTCAGAATTTCTCGA